AAAAATAGAAATCCTGTGGTTTGCCAGCCACTTTAAAAATCACTTTCAAGATAATAAAACACTAAGAGAAAGTAAATCACACATTTCTTATATCTTCCTATAAACATATGAGAAATACTAATCTAAAAGACAGATATTCAAAAATAAAACAGGCTTTGGAGCTGTATCTGCTTTAGTTAGATCCACTAGATCTCTCTCTATTTCACCCAGATAAAAAGCTGTCAGGATGTTGTCTTGACTTGCCAACAATGCCCTAGTATGCACACCACCAGTCCAGATACAATGCACATTGTACCCAAAAATTTTAATTGGGGGTTAAGGGATAATTGCCTCCTAGTCCAACACAGAGGAGTGCCAAAACAAGAGTTGATGAGTTGATGTCCTGGTTTACAGACTAAGGACCTTAATTTTTTCCAAGGAAGACCCTACTGTTCAGCTGATCTGACTTATGCTTCGCACAGAAAAATGGTTTGGGGTTTTTTGAGGGTTTTTTGGGGGTTTTTTGTAAAATCATTTCTATTTTTTTAGAGAGCATATTGTTCACTCATGAATAGGGCAGGTTATACAATGAGAATTTTATTTGCCCATTCATAAAAATGTCATGCCATTTGTTGCAGCAATAGTACCATAAGACATGGGGAATGTACAACTTCTCTTTCTTCCTCGTGACTGATCAGTGAACTCCACTCTGTAAGAGTGGGGATCAGTAAGGTTTGACCTCCAGCTGGTGTAAATCACAAGAACTACATACCTCTGGTTGGTATATACAAGTGCTAATTTCCATACCTTTAGTACACAGTTCTACAGACACAGATTTGGACATACGCTCATCTTTTTATATAAAAGTGGCTGACAGATCATTGGTAGCAAATTTTCAATTTTTTTTTGTCACAATTTTCCTATGAAAAGAAGATCTACAAAATGCCCTTCTTATCACAGAACTGAAAGAATCATTAGTTTGATAATTGCACACTGTCTTCCAAAACCAACAAATATATGAAAAAGATTCACAATAAAAAGAAAAAAAAATAAATCAAGGCTGAGGAATAATTTCACAGTGTAACTCGGTAACAAGTCCCTGGAGAAAATTTCTCTTCCTTTTGTTCCCATCTGCAAAGCTGTGTAATTGATTCCTAACTGCTGTGTTAATGCTCTGGATTCCTGGCAGAATCCCTTTGGAAATACATTAAAGCAAGCAGGACTCTCTCCTGCTGCAACCTTTTGAACGTTGAAATCTGGGATTCTGTGACATGCATCACATTTCAAGCAGTGGGCCACAGTGCCAGCATCTGTGCCAAACTGCTGATAAATATTAATATAGAAGAATAAAGTATAAAGAATTATATATTGAAATGTAGAGCAAATCAGGAAATTGTTTTCTTTTGTAATGAATGACAGTCTCTTACAAGTACAGTTATATTCCACCAAATAGAAATTAAATAAGAGCAAATAATATTTGCTATAGCGTGGTTTATTAACTTCTTATAATGACTTGAAAAATTTTACATGACAACAGGCAAGTGTTTTTAAGGAAAGCACTTGGTCTTCTGCAGGATCAAGGAATAGTTTGACTTCCTGATCTTCCTATGCCTTTTTCTGTAAACATTCAGACTAATAAAAGAAAAAGAATGAGGCGAAAAAGGTTTGGTCCAGCTCCCAGGTATTACCCCAGTCAATACCCCAGTGACTGCTAGAGTTGTGCATGGAGCAGGTGTCTGCCTGGACAGAGCCAGTGACATAAGACGGCCTCTCTTCAGCAGACCAGGAGAGAAATATGGAGAAGATGTGTTTCGGCTTTCACATATGGTGCCTAATTAACCTTAATTAAGGCTGTGTTGAGGGAACTTGAGCAGCTTGCAAGAGGGATATCTGCTTCCTGATTTTTTTTTTTTTTAGCTTTAAGAAAGGAAGATTTCCTCTCAAAAAGAGAAATACACTTATGAAATACAAATGTTCATGTTCCAATCCAATTTTATGAGACAGTACAGATAAAATACCCCTGTTTTTATTGTTCCCTACAGGTCAAACAATTTTAAAAGAAAAGCACTAGGATCGCAATAAAGTAGATTCTCTGCTCTTTATAGTTTAATGCAAAAAATAACCAACACACCAACCCTAAATATTTTACAATTTGGGCATATGTTCCCTTGTGTAAAATTACATATTATTTTTATTAATTATTTGAAGCTTACTACTCTGATGACCCTAAAAATTAATCAGCCTTGGTAGCCACACAATTTACTGCAAACATCTCCTCTTCCACTATGGATCAAATTTCACAGACAGACACCATTGCTATATTCTGCAGTTTCTGATCTTAGTACACACTGGGTGTCAGTACGGAAGTTTTTATTCAAACTGTCATTTGTGGGAATAACTTAACACAAAATTGTAAAGTTGAAATTAATTTTAAAATATATTTTAATTTAACACAATAGATTATAAATATTCGTATACTTGCCAGAGAGTCATCTCCATGATTCTTGTTAGAATAACACTACTTGGAAAAAGGGGCTGTGTTAAGCAGATTATAAACTCAGTGCTGCCTGGTCTGAAATTTTTCATATTGCATATCTGCCTTAGAATTTTCTTTCTTTGTGGAAAAAGTCAGCTAATGTAATTTAGCGATTTCTGAGACTGCAGCAGAAACAAGAACAGTATTCTGCTGTATCAACATATTAACACAACTTCTTGTGTCTGAAATCTGCAGTGCATCTGTGGTTTACAGCAAAAAAAAAAAAAAAAACAAAAAAAAAAACCAAAAAAAAAAAAACCAAAAAACCAAAAAAACCACCAGAATTTGGAAGCAAACTAGCTGTATTTGCAATTAAGTGAGAAATGACAGACCTAGATATTGGGAGGCAAGGGGGACGATGACAGATAGATGCAAAGCAAAGTCCCTGAAATGAACAACTGACCCAACCATGTGCCTCAATTGATATGTGGAAATTTAGGACCTTGTGGTCAAGACAGTTGAAATTTTCCCTGAATTTTGGTCTGGGTGTTTTGGGTTTCCTTCAGGTTGGCTTTTGGTTTCCTGTTTTTTCTTCTTTGCCTTTGTCAAGAACTTATGATAAGGAATAAGGAAAATTTTCTGAGTTTTGCTTCTCAGCCCTCTCTTTAGGTCTATTTCTTTAGTTTTGGGCAGAATATCTGAGGAATTGAGGAAAAATGTAAGTTGAGACTCAGACATGTAGGAGGTCTGGAGACTAAATTACAGTTACAGCTGATGATTTGGGGAACCACAACATGTGTATACATATTTCTTTGTCTTTTTCAAATTTCCAAGGCAGATAGTCAACAGGAGGAACTTAAGGCTGGACACTGCAAATGCAGGGCCCTTGAAATCAATGGATGTTTAAGACCTTAAATCTTTCTCTGACTCAGCTCTTTACTTGAAAATTTGGGATGACAAGAACATCTTTCTTCCCAGAGGATACTGTGAAGATAAACTCATCATTTATCTGTGAATCATCCTAGCTAATCCAGTCAAAAGCACATGGAAACTCATTTTTTTCCCCCTGAGAGATTTTAATGGTGTATCAGTTACAAAGCCTAAACATAATCAAGAAAAAATAATGCTGATTGATGTTGTTCATGAAATAATATTGTCCATTTTGCATCTCTGAAAGCTTCAGGGCTCTGAGTAAAAGCAGCAGATATAATGATACATACTCATACATCAAGCAGGCAAATTTTGCTGCATACAAAAAATAACACTGGCATCCCTCAAATCGTTTGGTTTTTCCTAGTGCCATTTATTTGTTGCACCCAAAAAAGCTATTGAACAGAGCACATATTAATGTGCACATAATAACACCAACCATATTATGGTGAGAAAAAAAAGTTTATATTTTGAATACTTTCAAAGTATAAAACACAGGCAGTAACACAGAGACATCATCCCTGAGTTTATGAAGAAATATCCTTTTTAGACACATTACAGCATATTTATCTATTATTGATTTTATGTTTTCTTCTGAAGCATCTAGTATTGACAATTGCTGGCGACAGGATATCTGACTAAATAATCAGGATAATTAGCCTGATAATTTCCCCAGGTTTCCATGTGAACTGAGGATGCTATAGCAGCATCTGGACCTGATGAGCACATATGGAGACAGCTGAAATGGAGTGATTGCTTAAATCACTCCAGCATCTTAGAAAGAAGCAATGAGACAATATTACATGTAATGAGGGGTGCTGAAAACAGTCTCCATTCTATAAGAAATACATAGGAATGATTAATGAAAAATCTTAACATAGTACTTTGCCTTTCTCTATATTGACATCAATAAGCATCTTCAGTATTGATTTTTGCTTATTATTTAAATAGCCTAATACAAATACAGACATTAAGCCAGATAAATACAGAAATCAGTATAACTGCAGCCAAGAGCCTTTATACCAGAAATTATGCCAATTACTCCCCAGGCTGCCAAGCCTGACTAAACAGAACTCCACACAGACTTCTGAATGCAGGGCTTTAAAAGCAGGATGATCCCTAATCTCTGTTTAGTGTCATACTCTGCAAAAACTTCCTCAAGCCTTCTAACTGAGCCTGTGCCACTCAATATCCCCTCTTCCTTTGCAATGCCAGACCAATATGAGTTGAAAGTGTGCTGGGGACACAGAAATGATCTCTCCTTCTGAGACAGAGGGACAGCGAATCACCTTTTTCAAATACTCACAGATGGCTTTTTCTCAGTTCTGTGAAGGCTGCGCAGTTCCTATCAAACACAAATGTCTAATTCATGTTTCTTGTTACATTTCAGAAATTACTTCACAATTGCCAAAATATAAAAAGGATTTTCAGACTTACTTGCTTAGATTTAATCAGGCTGTTCCACTGAAACTACATCATGTGAAGGTGGAACTGTTTTACCACCAAATGGATAATCAAGCTAAAATATTCTATATACTTGAATATAAAAAGTTAACTGGAAATGCACACTTGGAAATAAAAACACATTAGCTTTACTTCTGAGAATAAACAGTACCTTTCTCCTGTCATACAGTGCATGGTTATCCAGGATCATCTTCCTTTCATGTGCAGCATACCTCCGCAAATCACGTCCAAATTGCTGTCAAAGACAGAGCAAACATCAAACACATGCACAAACCAAAATTGTTATCCTTTCCACCTTCTAACACCAAACCAAATAATAAACAAAGGACTAAAAATTACCTCTATTAAAGGAATATAGTCTGATAAAATCAGTCATCTGAAAGGAAACGTTTGGATAAGGAATCCAAACATTTGCATCCATCCATCATTGCTGTCGTTACTGTGACAGTAGTTGGGCACTGCATAAGAAAGCAAACCTGTGGTGGGCTCCCACAGTCTGCAGGTGAATTAGCCCAACAGGGAGTAGGAGCTCAGTGAGGCACAGAAAAATGAAGTCATTGCCTACTCATACAAAGTGCCTCACATTGTGTGTTTTTAGTGTAGACTCCTACCTACAGAGTTGAGAGAAGGGCTTTTAAGTTGCCAAACACTTCCAGGATAAGAAAGGACCCCAAAGTCTGCAGGACTTAATCCAAAGTCCAAAAAAATATATATTTGTTATCTCAAAAAAGTGACTGAAGTAACTCAAGCTCAGCAGGAGAACACATCAATTTCAACATTTTGCCTGGTCTAAACCATCCTGCTTCCAATTAACCTGAGAACAGAGTGGCAAGGCACCAGTACTGCTTCCAGCACATCAAAAAAATGATTTGAGCAGGCTCAGAAGCTCTCCATTGTACCATGTATACACTCCCTAAAAAATGAACATCAGAAGGCAAGCATGTAGAACAGATTAAAAAATAATTCTGTCTGGAAGGAGATTAATAATTTGAGGTTTGAGTTTGCATTAGGTAGAAATTTTTGTTTTTAAACTAGTGTACTATTTCATATTATGCCAGCTAACTAGTGTCTATTGTGAAAGTACCTATAATTTCAAGTTTTCTTATTAAAACATAAATCAAAATATATTTTATTCTGGTTCAAAACTAATGTCTAATTTTAATTTTTTCCAGTTTTTTACAATTTCAAGGAGTTAATTAAAATGGAACTGAAACAAAACATTTGATATAATCCAAAAATAAAGATGTCAAATTGTTTTCAATTTCCTATAAAACAAATTAAGTTCCAATTCAGAATATCTCTTCCTCAAATGTTTTATTTCCTGTAAAATTATGTGACACTTTCCAAATAATCTCTCTACTCAGTAACCATTTAAATTTCTTGTTAACAGTATCATGGTGTAAAAAGACAACACAACTGACCAAAAACCTAACTCTTCAGTTCATAAACCTAAACACAAAGGCACAAGGGAAATAGAACTTAACTCTCCTAGAGAGACATCCATAAATGTTAGTGATGAATTCATCAGCTCCAACCCATGATCAGGGGTGGATGACAGCATGAAATGTGATGAGTGAATATCAGGAATATTTTTTTTAATCCATGAACTCTGAATGGTCCTGCAACAACAAAAACATGTTTTCAGTGCTAAGAGAACATGTACTGCAGTGGTTACTTACCCTGGAGCCTGTCCAACCTAACAGAGCATATGAATATTGCTCAAAGGGGGTTATGACCAGATCCACACGGATTGCCTTCCAGTCTTTGACTTCTGCCATTTCCAATTTTTTTGATGTGTTGCAAGTGCTGTTGTCTACTCTTGGCTGATATAATTTTAAAATTGCAAAACACTTCTGAAAATGATCCATGGCATCAACTTTTCTGCTTGGCAGCTTCTCCTTTACAAATGTTGATTCAATGATATCACAATACAGGAGTAAGCCCTAAAGAGAAGATATGGTTCACATTGAATTGCTGAACTGGTTTTGCTGTCATTCCAGAGTTTCTAGATAGTTGTCCTAAAAATTCATGTGAAATGTAATTTCAGTAAACAAGAAAGTGTGCCAGGGCAAATTTGGGCTAACAAGAGACATAAAACGGCATCAGACTTTGGAAAATATTTGAGGGAAATCTGCACTGGTAGATATCTGACAGTAGTGAGGTCCTGCCCTGTACTAAAGAGATAGAATTTGCAATTCTTCCCCTCTCTCCTTTTGTCCTAAGCCTTTTTCTAGTTAACGTCAACAGAAATTTCTCAGTAAGGACTGATGTGTTCCCATGTGGCAGACACCTAGAAAAAGATGATTAGTCCAGTGCACAGTCTTGCTGATGGATTCCAAAGTGGAAGATGACATTTGGACTGTATCTGATGCATGAGAGTTCCTTGTGGCAAGGTCTGGAGTTTCCAGAGAGATGGAAGATCCTTGCCCATGTCTTTTCCTCAGAGGGAGTGCCCATTTCTTTAGGTCCTTGGATCACTTTTTTCTGCTTTGAAATCACTCAAATGTTTACACATCCTCCTTCCTCTGGACTAGGGTCTTTTTAAAATTGCAATGTTGAACTGAGAGTGTCTAGAAGTGGTTTTATTTGATGGCTGCCCGTTGTTTGACAATGGTGTTGTTAAAGTTTAGGAAAGTTATTCTCCCATTTAGTAGCCCAGCTAAAACCATTCCTCTTGCTTCCCCCTCCCCACCCCAACTGAAAACCCAAAAGGCAAAGATCATGGGCTGAGATAAGAACAATTTCCTGGAAACAGCAATGAGGTAAGACAACAAACAGTAACTGGAAACACTATTAATAACAAAAGGTGTAAAACAAAAACGATTTACATGTAAAATAGCAGACCATTTCAACCACCACACTTTCTCCCACTGGAAGAAAAATCCTTCTTCTAGGAAGAAAGTCCCGTTCCCTCATCCCTGGCAGTGACAGAAAGCGGTATTGAATATTAGGGTTCCCTTTGATCTGATCTGGGCCAAAACCAGGATGAAGGGTCTCCAGATAGGACTCTTAATGTCCCAGGTAACAATTAACTGATTTTTTGAAGAATACCTCAGTATTAAAAATGATATTTTTATTATTTATTTTATTTAATGTAGGTAACTTTACATGACAGTATCTTAAATGACTTAGAGAATACTTTACAGTAATAAAGTTACTTTTATCACTAAGAGCTATAATTCCCCCCCCCCCCCCCCCCCAAAAAAAAGCACATCAAAACCCCTTAACAAGATACAATTTCCATGGAGAGACACTGATATGTATTATTACATTTTTAGCCTCCAGCTTTTTGTTGATGATAGCTCCAAATTAACAATCCCATTATTTTACTGGAAATCAGTTACAGTCTTTTCATGGGTCAATGAGCCAGCCTTTTTAATGATAACCATTTTATATGAATTGGCATTCTTTCACTTGTTTGGAATTTTTCCTGATTATGAAGATTTATTATAAACTGATATGAGAAAAATTCTTATGTAGCTTCTTCTCTTGGATGACTAGTTTCCAAGTCTGCTGATCTGAAAATGCTTAAATTTAGCAGGTGCTCTGTAACAGCTATCTTTAAAACAGCAATTTTTTCTTAATTTTACCCGTGTCACAAGGCTCTGATGCTTGCTCTTTCCAAATATAGACTCAAAACAGCTGTTAAGTGTTAATGCATAACTGCCTATTTTCCTGCTTATTTTGATGAAACTATCCTCCTTGCAAGTTAATTTTGTTGCTTGTAATGCTAATAAAAATAATTTTAATATCATTAATCATTGACCATTAATTGACCATGAATTCATGCATTGATTAAGCACCAATATTCTTCCCATTTTCTATAAAAATCTGTTAGCTACTTAGCAGCACTTTCTCATCTTTTGCTTCATTTTTCTTTTTGCTCTTGGAGATTTGGGACACTACAGAGTATATACCAGAAGGTATATACTCTGTAGAAGAAGAGTTTCACCATTAAATAGGAGCCAAAGCCTAGGTCATATGCATTATGATAGTGTTTCCAATTAACCTAGTATAATTAGACAATGGACATCACCATCACCCCTTAAAGTAAAGGTGAAATGGCACTTAGGTACACTTGGAAAAAGCATTGCCTGAAGGGGCAGTCAGCGATGAAGATTGTGTGAAGTTCTGGACACTGCTAGCTGCAGAGCTGCATCCTTCTCATTACTCTGAGTCAGGGAATCTGCAGCTCTTTGCACATTTCAGATTGATCTGTACACCATAAAGTGCTGTAGGTCTTGTTTACACAATCATGTTTAGAGTGTGGTCATTTTAATTTCTCAAATTTACAACACCATCAAAACGAAATATATTTTTTAGGACAGTTATGTTAAGACCCTCAATAATATTCCATTTTTAGAATGACTGCACACTTTTGCTTAAATACGCTGAGTGCTGGCACATCAATAGCATTGATATTGGAGTAAATCCAAATTCAAACTGAGGAAAAGTATGACTTTTCAGAAAAATATTAAATCAATCACTGAAAAATCAATCAAATATGGTATCCAGCATTCTCAGTAATTTTTAATTAAATGGAATCCTCTTCCATATTTAGTGTTACATGTTGTCATTATTCATCGTTTTGCTAGCTGGATTAATTCTGCTAAAGCTAAGTAGGATCATTTTATATCATCTGAAAATGTAATCCATTATGTTCTTCTGAAATATATATGTTGTTGCTATATATTTTCCTCTGAGATAGTTTAATAAAGTGAAACTGGATTTCTTTCTTTTTTTTTTTTTTTAGTGAAATTCCTATATCTAATCCAAAATAGGATATGGCATGTTAATTTGGAAAAATTTCAACGTGGATGAGACAGACGGAATCCTATAAAGTGGAAGAGCTAAAGGAACACTTTTTTAAAGTCAGGCCTTTAAAGAAGTCACTAGAAAATGGCATCAAAGGTTTGATCAGCAATGCAAAACTTGGCAGCTGCTGCATAATCATGCGGGTGCCTTGGTCCCTTTTTCATCTTGAAGTTCCCTGTGTGTTGGAATGATCTGTTTCTGAGCATGTCTGGAGCAGCCTGGCTTTGACAGCAATGGACAGATCAGCACTGGAATCCATGAATGAAGGTGTTTACCTCTCAAATGCCATGAGCATTTGCACTGCTGAGCAAGATAAAGAGGCAGACAGACAGACAGATAGGGAGTTACATGTACCTGCTCACCCACACACAGCCATACAATGCACCCCAGAAAGATCACACGTCTTAAGAAATGCCAGATCTTCACTTAGAACACAGCAGGAAATGGAGCACTTCTGCTTACATTATACAATAACCTCACAAGCAGGATAATGAGAGTCAGCCCTGTACTCTCACTAAAGAAATTTAGGCCAAGATCTCTCATGTTCAGGGCTCTAACCACTTTGCAATAGTCTATTTCAGGTAAGAATTTCATCATCTTAGATTGAACCAAAAAAAATCATAAGGAATTGCAAAGAAATCTGAGACAATGTGTGTCCCCAAAGGAGTTCTGCATCCTTATGCACTCTTTCATCTGAAACAAAAGGTTCTTTCCTCTGGCTTCTTAATAGTTTCTGTGTCTTGTTTTAGAAACAGGTTTTGTTGCTGGCAAAATCCAGCTGTCACTTAATAATGAATGTGCAGCTTTGCTGTGAACCCTGTTTCCAAAAATCAGTTTCCAGCAAAAGAAGAATTATTACTTGCTTCTCACCATCCTCTTTAATGGAACACCAAGCCTTCCCCTTCCTGATCACCTCATCAATGGTGAATACTGGAGTTTAAACCAGACCAGTAATATATTAAAATAGGTAAGCACAGGCAGGCATCTCCATCACTCATTTTCCTAAAGCCGAAAGAAAAATGCAACATTATATTTACATGAATATAAAAGGGAAAATCTGAAGAGTGCAGGAGTGCCTGTAGTAACAGTATCTCTTCCATTGTTGAAAGTATGTCTATAACAGGAACAGTGCTAAATATAGCTATACAGGTTTTCAGCAAAAAATGAAAGCAGTTTTTCACAGTATGTGAATGAAGCTACATCGACACAGATGGCTCAGCCTGTTTGCCCACAGACTTTCAAGCTCTAACCCACAGAAGTAATTTCTTGCTTTATGAGTTTTTTTTTGAACCATTAAGACCATAACCTGTGTACTGCATCACAGCTTTTCCATTTTGCAACTCTACTTTGAAGACTTTGTGTTCTCTGTTCCTCAGCCCGTTTATCCCTGGTGATGCTGCATCAAAGAGCATGATGGTGCTGATTTAGCCACTTCATTTTCAGCAGCTTTCACTGGAAGGATCTTGTAATGCTAAACTTTTGAGATAAGAAAAAGACCTTTTAAACTATTTAAAGCTGTGGTCCATAATTTAGAAGTTAAACATGGTGGAATCTTTCACTCAGAGCTGCCAAAAGGAAGCCAACATCATGACCTCCGCGGCGTGCATCAATTAATTTGCGCTTAGGAGGAGCAGCACAAAAGTGGCAAGCTGTGACTACTGCAGACTACTGCAAAAAGTAAAAAAATGCTTTAATTGGAGTTTTTTCTGCCCTCCCCTCTCCCTTATAAATCAAAGACAATAAAAAGGCAAGAGGTTTATAGATCCTCTCTTTCTTTTTTGCATTTTAATTTTGCTGGCAGCTTGTTTTTCAGTAGCGCCACTAAAGGCCTGTATATTACAACTGCCACAGTAGAGAGGTAGTGTAACTAGTGGCATAAACCATGAAAAACCTGGAGGACAAACAGAACACAGGAAATAGCTGTCCATATCTTTAAATTATACCCAGCTTCTTTGGGTTTGGTTTCTATGGCCATTTTGCTTCTGACATGTTCTACATACTGGGACTTCTAGAGGAATCCTAATCTTTTCATCAAACTCTTGGCCACCCTTCACTGCCATACACTGCCTGCACTCCCTTCTGCCAAATAGCTCCTTTAACAAGAAAATCAGTAAGAACAATTCATTTTCAATTTATTTTCTTTCAATTCCTTTTAATGAAAGCAGCTCAAAGTGAACTGAAAAACTTTAGTACTTGTCAGACTTCTCAGATCACAGCCGCTTTTCTCAGTAATGTAAGTTGAAAAGAAGGAATGAAAGGCTGCACTCAGAACAGGCTCTAGCCTTGGTCTGTTGTCACTTTTCCCTTCTGCTCTATTATAACAGACATGATTTTGAGAGGACCTATACCTGATTTCCTAGAGATTCAAGTGTGTGTAAGATAAAAAATCCATTCTAAGAAGAAAGGCAACTTTTCTCACAGTAAAGGGAATATAATAACTGTGAAAGGACCTATACACTAATAATAAAATTATTGATAAAAATAGAGTATTTCCTCAGCACTCATTAATTGCCATGGCTTCATTGCTATTGAGTAGTCTAAATAGTACCAGCTATCAATCTACTCCAACATATGCAGCTTCCACAGATGAATGAGAAGGAATTCAGCTAATGTTGTATTTTACCAGGAAAATAGCAAGTTTGAGGCCCCACCATCAAAGCCAGCTGAAAGATTTTGACCAGCTTGAAACAGATAACTTCATACAGTCACATAAGCTTTTGTGCAGTTGGATGTTTTGAATTTTTCATGTGTTAACCCATTATACATTAATTGAAGTACATAGCTCAGGAATCAATTCTCTGCAGCCTGTCTGCATTGAAAGCTGACTTGACTTAGCAGTGAGGCACTTGATTCACCTCAGGCTGCTGGCTTTTACTTGTTGAAATTTACTCAATTTCTTTGAACAGTGTTGGTAGTAAATGTTGAAAAATATCTCACCTGGCTAGAAAGTAGAAGAAAAACAAAAGTTTATTTTTCCCAACATATTATATTTTTCTGACCCAAGAACATTTTAGATACCTGTTATAACCGAGACTCTTCAACTTTAAAGCTGCTGGAAACTGAAGAGCTTAATAAAAAGAAAAGAAAAAAAAAAAGAAAAAAAAAAACACCACAAAAAAACCCCAAAAATCCATCCCTTAGATGAGCAATTCCTCTAAGAAATGACACAATCATCTAGCATATTGGGTTGGAAGAGACCTTGAAGATCACAGACATAATGGAAAACTGCAACAATTTTTCTGTATTTCTATGCTTAAAGCTGGATTTCCCTGGAGCAGCTTCCTGTGGGAAAACTTACTCTCACCTCAAGAAGAAATTAAACAAATAGACAGTTTTTTTAAAGAAAAAGAATTTTCACTGATACTCAAAGCTCTGACACTAGCTTGATTTCTCACCTCTCATATTCTTAGGGTAAGATATTACAGAATGTGTGTGCACTTCTGATATAACCTTCAACTTTACCATTCAGAGCTAGAGGATGCACTTAGATCATGGTTAGTAATCAAATATCCTGCTCCAAAATATTGCAGTCAGTTGTAAAAAAGAGTATGGCATTCTTTAAGCAGTATATAGGTTTAATTCAGTGGAGTTAGAACTTGTCTCTTTTGGCCAAGTGCTCTTTAGTTCATACCTGCTTTTTCCATAAGTCAATAACTTTATGCAGAAGTTCATCATCTTCTCTTGGTCCTGGATTGGTGATCAAAAAATCTATGTCATGTCCAATATTCTTACCCCTAGAAAGAACAAATAACAAGGACATTTAAAGAGTTAAGTTCCTGTTGAATTTTGCTCTGTTTTCAAAGACAGTATTTTTGCTGTATTATAAAAAAAAAATTGCAGAATAAAATGATAGCAATATTGCTTAAAACATAACCAAAATTGAATCTTTGATTACTATTATTTGGTTTATTAGTTTTCTTTATAAAATAATAATGACAAGTTTTTTTACTCCTCTGTTTTTCAACTAGATACTACAGATCCATTTGAAGATGTTAAATCTCTTTCTTTCTTCCCTTAAGTCCCAGAAAGGAAGATTTTAGTCATCTTTGGATTTAAAAAAAAAAAAAGCATAATAAAATACAATGTCACATATTACGAATCCAGTGCAAGTAACAGGAGATAAACTTGCCAATCAAACTACCACAGATTTAAATATTCTTCTTTGCTTTTGATGCACATTTTAATGTACAAAATTATGATTATGGACATTTTTATTGTTTCTTTTAACAGCAGATATAAATCCTTTGACTATTTTGCATTTCTTTTAAATATAACAATGCTTTTTACAGAGATGGAGATTGGGTTTTTTTCTGAGGACAGTTCATCCTTAATGTGCCTAAAGCTTGTTCATTACATGCACTGAGGATTTCATAATTAAATCCGTGTGCACAAAATTTAATTGCAAATGTTCTTAATGAAAAATTATGTCATAACCTCTTGTTTTTCTCTGTTTAAGTCTAAGCATTCAGTTTGCCTTTCATCTGCTTTCCAAAGGTGTTGAACTGAAATCTTGAAACTAAGACTTAGCTATCATTGGAAAACAAGCAAAAGCATGTTATTGAATGTTTCCCTTCAGAATTATAAAATGTTTGAGAACACATGAGAATTTATCTCACAGTACAATTCATCTGAGCATTGCAGAATCAATACAAGGTTTTAATTTTGGACTTGGTGGTACAACAGGAGCTGCACGCACATTTACTGAGTGCAATCTCTACAGCCTAAGGAGAAATGAGAAGAGGAGAGGAGAGATTTCTGCAATGAGAATTATTCTCCTTTATGGAATTGGTGGAGAAAGCACCCAAAATCTGGAGTAGTGACTGTTATGTGCAGCACATCTCCAAGTGTTTCTCATGTGTTTATGGGGAAAGTCTGCTCTTGCTGGTGTTCATAAGGGTATGTGATGTTATAGCTCGGGAGGGTTTCAGTCAACACTGTGTCAAGTATTCAGAGAACTTGTGAACTGCTATTCAAGCAATGAAAACAAAACTGTGAAACCCAAAGAAATATTTTTTTTTTAATTAAATAATTTATTCTCTTAAAATAATGCCTAAAACTGAACCTGGTTTCTTAAACTTGGAAATTTGTAGGAACAGAACTGATAGGCAGACTTGTCAAGTGCCATTTGTGTGACAGGAAATCATCTAACTGATGGATAGTTGAACAGCATTAGCACAAAATTGTAAGGAGATGAAAGTCTGGGGTTTGCATTTGACAAGCAGTCATACTCACTATAATGCGACTATTGTGCTGTGTCTGCAGCAAAGTTGAAATTGCTTAAACAGGTAGAAATTATTTCAAAGAGGTTTCAAACAAAGCATCAGTCTAGGCTTAGAAACTGAACAGCAATTCAAACTCAAGAAGTTAGAAAATATTTAGTATTCCATGTAACACTGAGTTATTTTGTAGGATGCCATTCATTATCTCTAAAATTACAATAATAATGCAAAGCTCTTACATAGCACTTTTTACTAACATGTCTCAAAATATTTTTTCAAAGGGAAGGAATTTACTATTCCTATCTTAGAGATGCAGAGTGGCATAAGAATATTTGCTTTAAATTACTTTTTAAAGAAATCAAAGGAAGAAATTGGAAGCTGATGGAACTGGGAGCTGATTCCCAATGCTTCCTCAACATTTACATTTCTTTCTGTCTGTTCTGACATCGGTGCCATATGTTTCCTCTAGGGACGTATCCTCTGTGCTGGGTCTCATTTAACTCCCACTGTAACAGCAGCATCGAATTATTGTTTGACATCAGTTGAATTTGACCAAATAGAAGTCGCACAGGAATTCTGCCTAATAACTGCAGTCCTGATTAAGTTGCTTCTACAATCTATCTCCAACCAACATGTGTCTTTCAGGAAAAGGAACAGACATTTATATTCCAAATTCCAGGTAGTCTGCATGCCTGTGGATTTGCTTATTAAGCAGTCTGCTGAGACGTTGAAGAGGGGACAGACAATTTCTTACAGTCAGGTATTAAAATAATTCAGAGTTACTGTCAGTCAAACTATGAAGAACTACATATTTTCTTTGTATAAACCCCATATAAAGAGAAAAAGCATTCTTTAAATTTGAAGTACTGGAGTGTGACAGTGCCACAACTATTACACAGAATGTAAAATCCTGGATGTTTGACAGAAGAAGAATTCTACCAATTGAAAAATAGTTACAGAATAATTCTTGGCTCTGATACCACAGATTTTCAAAATCTTGTTACAGTGTCCCATCTTCAGATATAAATTACAAGAGTTTTAATAGAATAGAAAAGCAGTGGTCTACAAAGTAGACCAATAAGTACAATCCCCTGAATATTTTGGCTAAAGAGAATTTACTGAATTCAGAATTTAATCACAAGTTTATTATTCCAGTATGTTTTCTCCCCTGACCTTTTTTCAAATCTGAAATCTGGACCTAGAGTAAATGGTTCTATTGACTCAGAAGGACATTAAACTTTCCTACTTACACAATTAGTACACTGACAAGAAATTAGCAGAGTCAGATCTGTGCAAGGTTTTCTGAAACACTGATTTCATGCTGAAGGAGTTTGTTAAATGGAAGAAATTAGTTTGCAACATGGTTGTTTCATTTGCAACATGAAGTGGGTAATAGTTAAAAAAAAGTTAGAAAGTCATTTTGTTTGTGGCAGAAATATTGTCTTCCAAATTACAAGAAAATGCCGCAACATTTATTTTATTTTCTCAGAAACTCTCAATTACATATTCAGACAAAGAGAGGGTCTGACAAATTCTGACTGTAGAGAGCATTAATAGCCTAAGTAGCAGCATAATACTGCACCAGCCCATTGCTAGCATAAATGACCAGCTAAGCTCTGTACACCACATGTAAGCTATTCTTCAAATCACTTCCAGCTTTATCTCAGGAGTTTCCCTTAATATTCAGCTCAGTTCCAAAACAACATTTAGATTCAACAGTGTCAATGCCATGGTGGTTCACATACGTATAGACTAGGTAGCAAGAAAATAAATGCTCACTGAAGTGCAAAAGCAGCTCAACCGAAGTTAACAATCCAAAAACAGAGAAAGCAGAGACAGCAGAATACCAAATGTAAGTGTTGGCAAGCCTGACTCGCATTGTGCAGCGCCCAGTGTCAGCTGAGGGAGAGGGGAAGAGGGAGCATTCAGTCAGAATGAACCAGGGGCTCTAAAACATGCCAAACTCCAGCACCAGCTTCATTTCTTCTCTCAGTGCTGCATCTCCACCCTTAACATGACAAAGACGTAAAATCAATGAGGATGCCTAAGATGCCATTTTATAGTTCATCAAATTAGACAGAAGGCTCAGCTATACTATTTATCACATGAAGCCATTCTATGTTTCCCTAAGTTTGGAGTTTTAAGTGTCATAGATCACTCTAATTCCAGAATTAAAACTCGGGAAAGCCTTCCATTGCAGGGCAGGGTAGAAAACAGGAAGAAAAAACTGTAGAGATTGTCAGGGTATTTTACACTAAAACTAATGACAAGCACTGGACAATTTTCAGCATAGTTACTGAAGATAATAACCAAGATTCCTCCGCATCTTAACACTGCAAGTATCTATACCCTGATTTCGGTGAATGCCAAGAGTCAGAACCTGCTTTTCAGAAATGAAGTAGCATGCCTGAAGGAATGAGGAAAACAGTAAACCAAGATCTGATCAGGGCTCTGTAGAAGACAGATATGGTTGGACTTCAGATAATTTCTGCTCTCCTGATTGTTATTTGAATTAGATCCTAATTGCCTTAGAAAGCAGTTTGACATTAGTGGTTCCCAGTCAGTGTCAAAATTAATTTTCTTCTTTCTAATGCTACACAGGTGGTAAATTACAAAAAAATCATCTGTGGAGATGAAAAGTGCCAGTGTGGGAAGACATTTGTGCTAAGATTTTATAGCTAGACTGTGAGTTCAAGGCCCAGCCTTTCAGTCACCCTACTGCACTTGGTTTGCACCAGCTGATAAAAATTTTGGGTTGAATATTCCCAGAATTCTAAATCCAAACTGAGAGTTTTTATTCTATATCAAAGAAAATTCTGGAGTTTCTGCCCCTTGAGAGTTAATTGTTCCCTGATTGTACATTACAACGTTCTTCTCTGGTTTAGCTAATATTTGTAAGATGGTTTAATAGCATGCTGAATAATGTCTAAAATAGCAATAATCTAATTAAATCAACTGAAATAAATTCTGCCACTAGCAAAGACAATTAAAATTAAAACTGATATAATGATATATTTAACTGAAAAGATACCATATAGTTATGAGAACTACCGTGATTCATTTCGAGGGTAAAAAAAAATAAATTGCTGTCATAGCTTTGTCTGCAGAATTACTTTTCCCACTAATTTAAGAATAGAATTTAGATTATACTGTCTCTGAAATAAAAATATAATAAAAACTGAGAACTGTTCCCCTGGGCAGCTATAAATCCAGCTTCTACAAAGGTTTGAATTGCCAAAGGTAGCATACAGCAGCTTCATCACCCAGCCAAGTAATTCGACATAAACCCAGCAGAAATATGTAAGTATTTGGCAAAGATTCACAGGTATCTTCTCTGGAAAAAGTGCTTGAGGATGGACACTTCATTAAAATGCTATTTTTCTTACCCAGTGTAACAGTAATTCTAATTCACTGGAGGCAGAACCCATTTTCCATAGCTGTGGAACTTATTTATTTTTGAAGTTAATCCAACTCTGCAATGAAGCAGCATTGGGAAAAATCCTTTCCCTTTAGGA